GTGTGTGTGTGTGTGTGTGTGTGTGTGTGTGTGTGTGTGTGGTGTTGCACTACCTCAAGTTGTGGAGTTGGACTCAGACAGGACAGCTGACAACAGAAAGTCTGAAACAAGAGAAGATCAGATCAATTAAAGAATCTTTGGTTTCATTTTTCTTCTTCTCTTATTGTCAATAAAAAACACCACGGTCTAACTGTGTGTGTGTGTGTGTGTGTGTGTGTGTGTGTGTGTGTGTAAATGATTTGTTATTTTAAAGAAACCAACAAATATTTAAATTGAAAATTATCTGTAAATAAAGATGACCACGTGTCTCCACTTCCTCCAGAAATGAAGCTCAATTATCTCAGATACAAACGCTGCCATCTTGTGATGATGACATCGCTTACAGTCAGCCTGTGCACTAGTGATCGTGGGGAGGAGCCATCTGACTAATCAGGAGTCAGTGTCAGCTGTCAATCACGACGTCTCAGCTGTTTTTATATCATGAAAAACTAATAAATCAAACTGATCAGAATCACTTGAACAAACATCAGAGAGATGAGAACGAAACAGTTGAGTTTTAGTTTAGTTCATGTCCCATCTGCTAACATGGAGGAGGAGGTTTATGAGCTACACTGCAGCCAGACACCAGGGGGCGATGGAGATGATTCGGCTTGGCAGCTGTCACGTCATTTTAATAATTTATCGAAGGAATTGAAAAAGGATGAAGTGTTGATCATCGAAGTGATCGGATTGATAATGACAGTGAAACGAAGCATCACTGAACAAAACGAGTTCATGTGAGTGTTTGTCTGTTGGACGCAGCTGAGTTACAGGAGCCTTCACCTCCCTGATCCTCAGCTCACAGTCAGAAGAAACACCCGCTGTCCTCCTCAACACCCAGAACTCCTTTCACATATCCTACAGTTTAACGTTTCTCTTCGTTGTTATCTAAAGGAAACGTCCTTTTACCTAATTTTAAAGTTTTTAATAAATCACAATGAGACACTTTACAGTTCGGCTGGCTTATAATCTACCAAACAGCAGCTCCTTCTCTCAAATGTCGACTTTTGCAGAACCCTGTGGTCGGTGCTGGTCCCGCTCAGCAGGGTGGACCACCGTTAAGAACCGAGCACCGTGAACAGAGGAGCGCGGTGAAAGTAGAGGATTTACCCGCAGAAACTGCTGATTACTGGAGAAAAGAAACGGCCGAATGAACCAGGAGACTGAATATAATCACAATGACTCTTCAGTTGTATTCCGCTCTTTGTCTGGTGGAGTTGAGATCAAGAGAAATGTTAAATCCAGGGTTTTTTAATGGGATTTCGCGGACCGTTCACTTACCTTCCAGAGGATGGGACGAAGCGGGACTTGCAGCTTTGACTGACACGCGAAGAGAAGAACCGGGACGGACTCCGTGAACCGGGCCGGTCACCGGTCACCCATCGAGCGGGCAGATGTAACGGAGAGCAGGGTAACGGTAACGGGGAGAAGAGTAACGTTACATGCCGGTGGTGAAGAGCAGCTTCTCTCTCTCTTCCTGTTTCTCTTCTTCTTCTCTCTCTTCTTCCTGCTTTTCTCCTTCTTCTCTTGTTTTTTACGCGGTTTCTTGACATTAGTTTACGTTCTCCACGGTGACTGCGACTTCCGCATCGTTCCGGTGACGTCACGACGACGTGTGGAAACGTCAGAGCGGAGACACCAGAATGAATACACACACACACGAACACACACACACACACACACAC